GAGAATAAAATAAAAGAAAAAGTAATTTAATTTCTATACATTTTGAGTTTGAACAAGTAGTTCAGTGTTTGTTCTGAACGGAATATATATGCATACACACATAGAAATATTCCATATATATATATATATATATATATATATATATATATAAACGTTTGCTTGTATAATGTTGAGGTGGATAGTTTGTTATATATATATATATATATATGAATTATCTATACAGAAATACAAATGCACAATCGAGGAAATAATGATATATATATATATATATATATATATTAAATGTACATATTTATTCTTATGATTTTTTTATTAATGTTTTAAAATATGAATAAATCAGTGTGAATCTATACCGTTTCTCGACATAAACGTACGGGTAGACACACTTAATTGGGGATGCTGAAAATTAAGGAAAATATGCTATCTCTAATGTGAAAATGTATTTGACCGTATAACTGGAGATCTGAATATAGCTACCTCTACCGCATATATATATATATATATATATATATATATATATATATATATATTAATAAATATATATTTTCCTCAAATATAGAAGTTTGTTTAAAGGACAAGCAATATCTTGTGTTAAGTATCTATTATATTTTATGCCATCTATTTTTTCTAAATTTCTATATATTTTTGTTTATTTAAAAACAAGTACATGAACCGGAAAACAGGAAACTGATCTGGAACTTAGAAGACATAAATATAAACTTGTCTAAATGAGAAAGTGCTATCCAAATACACAGAATATATATATATATATATATAGATAGATAGATAGATAGATAGATAGATAGATAGATAGAGTGAGTGAGAGATAGAGAGATAGATAGATACAGATATAGATATTCAAGAGAATACTAACCACTTACGTTAATATGGCTTCCACTGATAAGGTTTGCTTTTTTGCATAACAATTTTCTGCTGGACAAGTCTGATATTTGACCGGATAAAATTGTTTTTTATTATATATATATATATATATATATATATATATATATATATATATATATATATATATATATATATATATATATATATATATATATATATATATATATATATATATATATATATATATATATATATATATATATATATATATCCAGTTCACCCAGGCTTTATTGAATTCTCTTTTTATAATTATTATTTATATGCCGTGTCCCTAGGTACGTAGGTGATCATGGCTCTCCACAACTTTCTCCCTATCTCTTAATAAACTTTGTTTTTGTTCTTTCTCCATAACCCCGCCCGCCATCCATTTACACGAGGTCACTATGTATGTCTCTTTTAACTTTCAATCTAGCCTGTGAGGACCAGATTTTCCAAGCCCCTCTTCCTCATTTTGTTCCCTTGAAGCTTCAACTGATATCAGCAAGGGGAACTTAATAACATTCACTCAAGCGCCCAATAACTTTAACATTCGTATAGTCTTTTTTGCCGGTCCCAGTAAAATGGGCACTAATTCTATTTTGCCGGTAAATATAAATAGTATTTTAGTACTAAGAATATAACATATTTGAGATCGTCAGCGCAGGTTGTTGTGTGAGCTGTGTAGTTAGGACTTGAACAACATGGATTCTATGTCCTGTGATTTTTGTCTGCAGTGGGTGCACCTGGAATCTATTGGCAAGTGAACCATGCACAATGGGAAGTTTTGGATTTTCTGAAGTCCTAAAAATATTGACAAACTTCTATATTTCTTTTAATAATCAATGAGAAATAAAGGATTTTAACTTGAGGTTTAACAATTGATGGTGGAACAGATTTTGAATTATCTAAGCCGTACATTCACTTGTTATCATGAGGAAGAAAGCGGACAAACACTTGCTGCCACGTATGTTGTGGCATTTATTATGACATGGCAATAAATCCGGATAACCTTATTTTCTTCGATTTCTTTTTAGAATAGACAATGGGACTTATACTAAGTTAAAACTTAATGTTGCGAAAGGCTAAATGCAAGTGTCAGCCAGGACTCTTTGCAAATTACCTCCCCCTCTCATCGTTCCCTCTGTTTTTGTTGTTGTTGTATGGGTTATATGTAATAGGAGTAGGTAGGCTTTCCTACCGCCTTGGTCCCCACCTCCTCCCTTTCTCTTGGACATGAGTAGAGGCTTACGCCTTGTTTCTTGTTTAGGAAGGGGTTTCCGGTACTCTCTCTCTCTCTCTCTCTCTCACTGGACTCTGTATCTCCAGTTGTCTTGATCTATCCACTACTCTTCTCCTCATCCTTTCTTCTATCACTCCTATCTGATCTTGCTCCAAATTTTCTGTAACCCCTTGCGTCCTAGTGGCTTCCCGCCTTGCTTGGGGTGAAACGCTTAAAAAAAAATCTTCACAAGTGATGGTGAAAATAAGTAAATTTCTGTGTATTTTTAATTTTAACATTACCTGCATTCACAATATTTATCGGCAAAATAGCCTGGGACTTTATTTTATCGAGACTGGTAAAATAAGCTTAAAAGCATGTTTGTCTATTTTACCAGGACCGGCAAAATGGCGTCTTTGTTTAGAAGTTTTAAGTTTCGCTATGCGGAGTTCGCTATAGAATTATCGGTAAGCGGGAATTACTTTGCTAATATCCTAAATTATTGTCATTAAGTTCAATATTATGTTTTGCTTCGTGACTATGTTCTTGTGCTATATTTTAAATGACTATAACGGTTTTGGCTTAAAAGCAAAAATTTTCACACATCGATCAAGCATCTACAACTCTACGAAAACGATTAGGCATTTTAATCTGCTTACACCATATTCTTACATAGATTATGGCCTTCAAGATAAACACTCTCAGTGGATCTCAAATTGACATTTTTATGGAATCTTTATCGCTAGAAACGTATAATTAACTGTTATGTAGTATCATTCTTTCTCTACTGAAGTGAATACTGGACAATGTCGTCACAGATGAAGAAGTGATATGAAGCAACAGAATTGTTTCTACAGAAGGACGCTTCAAATACTAAGGGTCGAACGAAGCTCTGAAATCAATGGCAACAGAAAGGACACTTCCACTTAACAGCAGGATGAGACAGTTGAAATTTCTAGGGGCCCAGAATGAGGAAAGAAGGTTTAGGAATTGTGATACTCACAGGACAGATTGAAGTTAAAAGTTTCAGAGGTTTTCAACGCACAACCTATCTGGCAAGCTTGAGCAAATAGATGGCGGGGTAAGGTTTGGAAGAGATGGCAAACAGACAAAAGGTATTAAGAGTTACAAAGGATAGGAAATTATGGAGAGCCATAATCGCCAACGTCAAGAAGGGACACGGAACATAGATGAAGAATATATGTCCTGTTGTGCAATAATCAGGTTTGATACAAATATTTTCTGAAAGTGTTACACAAGCTTTTTTTTTTTAAGTATTTCCTCCCAAGTAAAGCGATGGCATTAGGACGCAAGGGGGTTACTGCGAGTGGAAGATTGTAGGTGACAGGAAAGCAAGAAATCATGTAGAAATTCCATATCTGAGAAGTGCGAGGAAAGAAAATAAAACTAAAACAGAACTCAGGAAGACAGATGATGGCTGTCATTGCATTTAAAAATTTGAAGGTTGTAGGTGGCAGAGAAGCAAGAACTTGAAATGGATTTCCATATTCAAGAAGTGCGAACAAAGAAACAATTAAAATAGAACATATGGTTATATCTACTGAGTTCGACGGTAAAACTGTGAGACCTAATTGCCAATCTAGTAGCAGATTTAAATATATGCAGTCAAGAAACTAAAGAGGAAAACTTATCAGAACAATTGCCATAAAAATATTTGTAGAATAGACAGTGGAAAGCCACATCACATCAGTGAGAAAGTGACTCAAGACGAGATGCCCAGTCAGCATCTATAAAATCACAGATTCTTTTTTGAATTTTGTTAAGAATCAAGAGACATATACTAGGAGTACCAAAACCAGATGTAACAGCAGTATTTTATGCACAGACAATGCAATAGATTCAGATGAGAAAAATTGTCTGGCAAAACATCAAACAGTAGACCTAGCAATTGATTCAATATAATCACTCCACTTCATGCCAGTGGGAAATGCGAGCCCAAGAAGATGCAAACAGTTGCCCGCCTGGAGGTTAGCATCAGCCATGCTGATAGAAAGCAGTAAAGGTTCTCTGTTCGTGATCAAACATACATATAGTAGGAGTACCAAAACCAGATGTAACCAGATGATGTTTTAAAGGCTGGAATCAGCCTATCGTATGTTTTTCATACATTATATGTGTACAGGAATTCATTTTATACTATATTCCAACTTATCAGAATTTCTTTTTCGTAATTTCACCCCAAACAAGGCGATAATGCCACTAAGAAGCAACGTGTTATTAAGAGAGGATTAGAATGAAGAGAGTTTAGTGAGGATAAAGGACAATAAAAAAAATAAAAATGAAAATAAGAGAGAACTCGGGAAGACAGAAAGTGGTTTTCATTGCATGTAAATGTTTGAAGATTCTAGATGACAACGAAGCAAGAAATCATGTAAGAGTTCCATAGACGAGAAGTGCGAGACAAGAAACAATTAGAATAGAACGTATGGTTGCGTCTACCTAGTTCAACAGTAAAACGGTGAGACCTAATTGCCAATCTAGTAGAACTCTTAAATTTATGCAGTCGAGGCACCAAAGTAGAAAGCTCATCGGAAAAATTGCCATAAAATATTTGTAGAAATGTTAGAAGGAAGCCACGTTACATCGGTGAGAAGATAATTAAAGTTGAGATTCCGGGTCAAAACTGATTGCATTACAGACCTCTCGTTGCTTATGTTAAAATGGTACTAATAAAAAAGCACAAGACAGCATGTTGTTAAATTAGATAGGCCTCACTTTATTCGGATGGAGAATGGAAAAATAGTAGACAATCAAGGAACAATATTTCTGGTTTTAAATTGCCTGACTATTGACAAAAAAAACATCTGCGTGAGAATGTTTCGCGACTGCCTTACAATTCTCATTCATATATACGTTTATTGACTAAATCTGCATCAGCATGTTACGACGTGTCCGTAGTTGGGCTCGGGATTCTCTGACGTGTTCAGTTTGAATCATGGCATAGCTTCTTCGTCCACTGATGCATAATTTACCATAATTCTCTTGACTTGAACAAAGTGAAAATTCCCATGTCTTTTCATTCCGAATTCTCATCAAGAATACTTTGCCGGGAACACTGGGATAAATATAAAAACAATAGGATACTCGAAGAAAATGCATTTTATCTTCGTTCGGTCAGCTTTTGGAACATTTTTTTTTTTTTTTGCAAGATGATTTTCTTGATAAAAAATAACATATTTTTTTAAATAAACAAATTGCAAATGATTGTTGTGCTATATAAAAATAAGCTAATCATCCCACATTAATAAGATGATTTTTTTTAAAACCTAAAAGGAAAACAATTACGACCGTCTGTTAAATTATAGATTGTATTGTTTTTTACGGCTTATCAACCTTTTGCAGGTTATTTAAACCAGAAATTATTTTTAGAGTGTAAGAATTCTTTTTGGAGATAATCATAGTTTAGTGATACAAGTTTCACTAATTAACCCATATATGGGGGAAAGTTACGAATTCATACTTCATCCATGGTTATTTGCGCGTAAGCATATATAATTAACCCAACCGACATTTGAATTCGACTCTCCGATTATTAATTCCTAGCCATTATCTACTACACCAAAATCACGCCCAAGCTTACAACACCTGGTATAACTAAGCGGTCATCCATCTTGGTATTCATCAAGCTGGATATTGCTTAACGTCGGGGGTTCTGTGTGATATGGCCGTAATCAAGTCAAAGCAACAAGGATTACATTTTCGAAGGTGAAAATTAGTTTCATCAATATAATGTAATATGAACGATCGTTGGGTTATTTAATGTTGATTAAAAGTCATATTAATGTGCAAATTAATTGAAACAAAACGAATAATTCTGTTATTATTTACTTTTTTGTATTTTCTCAATGAAATATGACCCATTGCACATATTAGTACTTCGTATGTCCATTCCACGAAGTCGTTCCTTGCAGATTGACCACATATTCTCGATTGGATTTAAATCAGGAGAATTTTAGGGCCAATCTATAGTACACTGATATGCTCACTGGTAAGGCTTGCCAGTGTGTTCGTGCAGCGTTACAATTTTCGTATGCTTCCTTGGAGTAACATCCATCGTAGACAATGTCCGTTGGACAACTAATCGACAATCGAGATAATAGTGCCTGGGTGTGAAGGGTCTAAGTAAAAAAAATCACTCTGAATTAATTTAATCTTAGAGTCTCTTCCAACTTGCTTATTAAGAAATACGGATCGACTTTTGTTATTATTTCCATATTAAATTAAGTCATGTTCCACATGAAGAAGGAGTTACCGTAATTCCCCATGTATAATACGCATTTTTTCTAAAAAAATAATGAGCTAAATAAGGGATGCGTATTATGCACAGCTACAAAAAATCATTTAAAAATTGTCTTTTCACCGGTCGATTTCAATTGCGAAATGACTACTCACCACAAACATACGACAATTTGACGCTAACATTTTGTGATTGAGACCGCCATAAGTATGTCAAATGCAATCACATGTACCTAGCAATACTTACAAATGGCAAATAAAATAAGAATTATCATAAAACTAAATTAGAATAATATTATTCTATGTTTAAAACTATTTTAATAAGAGTAGGAATCGCTGGCCGTAATGAAATTGGAGAGGTACAATTTATAGGGTTTGATTACCAAACAAGGGGTGCGTATTATGGTTTAGTAGAAATATTTTTCTACACTTTCAGCACAATTTTAGGTGTACGTATTATGGATGAAGGCGTATTATACATAGGGAATTACGGTAAAAATTCAGAATTTAATCCAGTTCCGCTACTCTTGAAAATTGATTACTTATTGGTTCCTAGCATTTGTTAGATTTTAAAATCTTTTCTCTTCTTTAATGGGATAATGTTTAGTATTTTAAATGATTTTTTTGTCCAGCATTTTCTTTTCAGTTTTTGATTTAATTTTAATTCTATTCATTATTTTTCTTTCATTCTTTATCATCATTTTTTCCCTCGCCATTTCTCTTTTTTCGCTGAGTTTCCTTATCACCTTTCTTTACTGTTTCTCTTCTCTTCTTTCTTTCTTCTATTCTTAAATGTTTTTCCTTTATTCTATTTTATCCGTTTTTCTTTCTTTTTTCTCCTTTTTTTTTGCCATTTCTGAGTTTTATTCTTTCATTTTTGTATTTCATCCACTTTAGTGTTGAAAATGTTTCTTTTGCTTTTCATTGCTTCTCTTTTTTCTTTTCCTTCCTCTCTTTCTTTTTTTTTTTACTTTTTTCATTGACTGATCATATCATTTGACGCCTTTCTTTCTTTCAAGCGTTGATATTTATTCATTTATTTAATATTCTCTTTTTTTTACATTCAAGAGCGTTTTCATACTTCTTTCTTTTACTTCATCCGAAAAACATGTTTTCTTTATTCGTTTCTTTCTTTATTTAATCTCTTATTTATTTTTCCTCGTCCAAAGACATATGTTTTCATTCGTTCTTTCTTTCTCTTTTTCCTTTTTTCTTTCTTTCTATGTTTTTCCTTGTCCGAAATCATTTTTCTTCATTCGTTTTCTTTCTTTCTTTCTTTCTTTCTTTCTTTCTTTCTTTCTTTCTTTCTTTTCTTTCGTTTAACTGGTCTATTCGTTCTTTCTTTTTCTTTCCTTCTTTTTTCTCGTCCAAAGACATTTTCATTATGCAAATATATTTTTCTTTATTTTCTTTCTTTCTTTCGTTCGTTCTTTCTTTTCTTCTTACTCTAGAAATTATTCTTTCTTTCTGTTTTATTATAGACTTATCCATTCTTTCTTTCTTTTTTTTTCCTTTCTTTCTTTCTTTCTTTCTTTCTTTCTTTCCTATTCTAGAAATTATTTTTCTTTATTTCCGTCCATCTTTTTTCTTCCAAAACTTATTCTTTCTGCCTCTCTTTTTTTCTTTCTTTGTTTTCTTTCTTTCTTTCTTTCTTTTTCGTTCTTGCTTATTCTAGAAATTATTTTTCTTTCTTTCTTTCTGTCCGTCTTTCTTTCTTATTCTAGAATTTATCCTTTCTTTCTTTCTTTCTTTCTTTCTTTCTTTCTTTCTTTCTTTCTTCCTTTCTTCATAAACACGTATAAGAAAAAGATGGCGCCATTCAGAATCGCAAGAATTGCCTTTTCTACTTTTGAACTGAATGTCATTTTCTCTGCGCGCTTGTGAATCTGGAGACCAAACGTCTCAGATAACATTCTTTTGTTTCATCAAGAATCGATCGGCCCATTATTATTATCATTATTTTTTTTTCTCCCGTCATTCATTCTTTCTTCTCGCCCACTCCCCATCTATTGCCGCATTTATTTAATCGATAACGGTAGGAAACAATTAACGTTTAGAAACGATTTATAGAGACGCTACCAAAGACAATGGTCAGACGAAAAAGAACGAAAACAGCGCGTGGGATATCTCAGTATCAAAGACTTTGTAAATATGAAAGAAAACACCGAGAGAAAGCTGTATCATATTTCTCCCTCATGCTGCCCTACTTAAGAGAAAAGATGATTGTTGTGTGTGTGTGTGTGTGTTTTTTTTATTATTATTATTTTTTGTCGTTTACGAATTACTAAATTTATTACACATCTTCTTTCCAAGTACAGATTAATTTTAAATATTCTGCCTGTATAAACCCGTGTTCTGTTTTTGCATAAATATTTTGTTTAATAAAAAAATCGAAAGATCAAAATATTTTGACAACATTGCAAATTTCTGATATTTTTGCTTCTAAGCGAACTAGAGGGAGTTGTCCGAATTTGACCTTATTGACTATTGTCCGAGTTCGGGGAGATTTTGAGGAAAGATTTTTGTATCAATTCGCCCCAAGCAAGACAATAACGCCACTAAGACGCAAGAGGCTACTGAAAGTGAAAGAAAAGGAAAAACAATCAGAAAGAACCGGAAATTAATCCTAAACAGGAATAAAACAATAAATCTCTACTCCAGCCATATTGATATCACAGTAATTCAGCACTATTTTCTACAAAGACTATATTTTTTGCTTGCATCAATTCACTCATACTGTGAGTTTAATCCTCACTAGGTAACCCACAATCGTGGTCTTAAACCAAACTGAATTGTGGCTATTAAATTTACCTATATAATCTACTTTAATGGAATAACATCCATTGTTATAATCTCATACTTTGTAAAAAAAATTTTAAAAATAGTCATATTTTATGAACCAGGTGTAAGGCCTCAGGCTCGGAAGTTTTAAGGAGTATGGAATCACTTCTTAATTGCTGTTGTTTTTAGGTTCACACTGAACCAAGGTAGTAGCACCTGTTAGGGTCCCAGCTATGGGCTAATAGTGAACCACCAAACTGGAGGTGAAAACACTATGAAAATATAAGCTAGGCCACAAAAATCTCCTGAGCCGACCAAGCATAGAAATGAATACAATATGGAAACCAGTAATAAGGAGTGCCAGAGGAAAGCGATAATAACAACAAAAATTGCAATATGAGCTCTGGTAAAAACATGACATGATAACAGCAAAATTGCAATATGAATTCTCACTTGCATTCTCATGAATTTCCTCAACGTCTACAAATCTGTTTTTTTTAATGGGATTTAATATTTTGAAAGAGGAAAAACTCACAAGAGATCTGAGGTGTAAACACTGTGGGGTGGAGAGACGGCCACACGCTACACACTTTCCTTCCAAACACTGCGTCGTGAATATGCCAACAAATATGGGGACAGCAGTCGGAACAATGTAAATAGTGTAAATAAATATAAATGACGGTTATAATTAGGCACGGGGGTGCGAAGCTAAACATATAGGGATGCGATTTTTTTTAATTTCTTATACCCAATGTATCAAGTCACACTGCTCAACCAATCTCATTCGCTATCTGAACGCTTTGTTTTCAAATATCCGACACTGCGACAAGAGGTTAAAAGTTCTCATAGGTTAGAAAGAAATATATCTTGTTTGTTTCTCAAAACAAGTATAAAAGGCTCCAAAAAAAAAAGACGGTTAATGTCTTTCAGAACTTTGGCGTCGTGGATATAGGAGTTGGTTATACATGATTTATTGTCATGAGTTCAAACCCTGGATGTGGTTGGCTGATTTTATTTAGCGGTACATCAACACCGCTACGGGTTATTTAATGCTAAAATCTAAATAATTTAGACACCATTTTATGGTTTCAACTAAATATATTTTGAACGTAATTGTATGCCTTCAAGTATAGATAAAATGTATTGTTGGTCACTTTTTATAAAATGTATATTGCTGGTATTTTGTTATCAAAATGTATTTTTATACTTTCATAATGTATTTTTTGGGGGGTGGGGGTGGCTAACTACCACCCTGGATCTGAGCGAACCTGTGAACAATAACAATTAAGATGTCGTTCCACGCTTTTCATACCCTCCATTCTCCCGATCAGAGATCATGCTGCGTTGGATCAATTAGTGACGCAACAATTCAACGGGATCGAACATTAACTAATATAACACGAACAAAATATTACAATAATCAACAGATATTCAATATCAGTCAGTCAAATGACACCTGATGATGACCAGAGTGTTCTTAGTCGAAACGTTTTGTCTACATCAAGCTAGATGAGGACTATAGTTCAAAATAATGCAAGAATATTGTTTACTTCTCTAACAAACTGTATCTTTATGTTTCAGTTTATTCTTTTCTATCTTAACATTTTTCCATAACTTTCCTTGTCCGGGTCAAGATATTTGCTCATTTGATTTCGTCATCATTTCGGAGTTTTAGAGTTGATGAAACCTACGATTTCCCATATTTATGTTCGCCATGTTGCAAGCTTTCATATATATTTTAAAAGCTCCCTTTTCAGTTAATTCGTTCTAAACCACTTTTCATTCGCACCTGTCACCATCTGTTTATTTTAATCTCCACTCAGTCAGTGCACAAAGAGGATTTTAAATTCTAAATAAATCTTTTCTTTTTTCTCCTATTACATTACGAAATCTAATCAATATATCGATTATTATAAACAAATCATTGATATGACTATACCGGTGCCAGCCCCAAATCACTTTTGATTTTTATTGTTTTTCTCCATTAATGTGCAAATTCTTTGATATTTCGGCAGTATAACCATCTGCCGAATGGCTTTTAAGATCGGGCGTGGGCGAAAGATGGTTTCTATAGCGCAATAGTTAACATATTCATGAGGACATCGGATTGTGTAATTAATGCCCAAATAGACGTTGCACACAATGTTCATCAGAGAAATTGACGGGTTGGCCTGAGAGATATCACCAAGCTGCCTTGGTCAGATCATTGCTTCTACTAGATGCCAGTTTCTGATGCCGACGTGTAAATACGTGGTCGGCTCGGATGCGCCTAGGATGTACACACGTGAAACAAAGCAAATAGATAGATAGATAGATAGATAGATAGATAGATAGATAGATAGATAGATAGATAGATAGATGAAGAAGAAGAAGAAGAAAATAAGAAGAAGAAAGTAAGAAGAAGAAAAGAAACAGATGAAGAAATAACAACGAAGGAGATAGATAGATAGATAGATAGATAGATAGATAGATAGATAGATGAAGAAGAAGAAAAAGAAGAAGAAGAATATAAGAAGAAGAAAGTAAGAAGAAGAAAAGAAACAGATAAAGAAATAACAACGAAGGAGATAGATAGATAGATAGATAGATAGAAGAAGAAGAAGAAGAAGAAATTAAGGAGAAAATAAGAAGAAAAGAAAGAGATGAAGAAATGAAAACGAATGAGATAGATAGATAGATAGATAGATAGATAGATAGATAGATAGATAGATAGATAGATAGATAGATAGCTGCATCGACCCGGAGTTGATGAAGGAGAGAGTCTCTTACAGTCAAGATAGAAGAAGAATCCACGTTCGAAGAAGAACCCAAAACCACAAACCCACTCGGTAATATTAATTGGTGCGGTCCGGAGATGGATAAACAATAAATATACTTATGATATATTGAGTCTTGTGCTTTTCATAACCTGTACGATAATAACATCACAATTGTTACATTTACTTTGTATTCTTTTAATCATTATTATTATTCTGTGCCATTTTAATCTGACCCAACGTCAAATTAAGTTAAGCCTAATATAAGATGACCACCTTTTTTTTAAAATCATTTCACCCTAAGCAAGGCAATAAAGCCACTAAGACGCAAGTCGGTTACTGAGTGTCAGATAATCTGAGAAAAATCACTATTAAAGGGAGAATACAATAAAAGAACAATGATAAAGAAGAACTTAAAAAAATGTCAGAAATTTTGATAATATTCACGCGACAGAAAAGTTGTCATTCAATCCGCATTCCTAAATATGATGAATTGACCAAATGTATTTTTTTTTATTTTCTTGGTCGAATCAAGAACCTTTGAGCAATTCACGTGAGATACGATAAAAGTGCATGTATTGTATTGTGAAAATAGCGCTACGCTATTTTTGATGTCATTTTTTTTAATCATCTCACTCTAAGTAAGGGACTAAAGCCACAAAGGCACAAGGGGGTTACTGAGTGCTAGAGAATAGGCGAAAAAATCACTGGTAAAGAGAGAGAACAATAAAAGAACAAGAATTAAGAAAACAAAAGATAACAATTGACATCGCATTTCAATTTTTGGAGTAGATTTGGGACGGAAACGGGAAATGCGACAGAAGAAAATATTAGCATAGGACTTACGGTTCAAACAAATAGTATGCAGTGTGTTCTATTCAAACTGTATGTGTACAACTGACCTAATGCGAAACTACTAGTAGATCGCATTGTAATATGCCTACCGTATTTAGCTAGCTAGTCTTTCAAATTTAAGTGATAGTGATTTTCTAAGTGTAGCTCAGATGTGGCACAAGGCCGAGAGTATGGGGCACCTAGTGAGGATCGAACTCACTTTTCAGTTGTAACTGTTCTAGCGAGACAAGCTTGCTAGCCATTACACCACATCGAGGTCCTCTAAATAATTTTCCAAGCATAGCTTAGATGTGGCACAAGGCCGAAATAAGGGGCACCCAGTGAGAATCGAACTCACTATTCAGTCGTAATTGTTCTAGCGAGACAAGCTTGTTAACCATTACACCACCTCGAGGTGCCCAATTTAAGTGATAGATATACATGTACTGCTCTACAACTGCGGTTCTGTATGAGGTAAGCGAAATTTGAGTAAATAGTTTTGTGTCTTCTATAGAGTAGAGGCAATTCGGTTTTCCAATACGTCTCAAAGATGCATATTCTCGCTCAGGTTAAAACAAAGACTCCAAAAAGTAAATTTCTTGAAGAGCAGGCAAGATCATTTTCGAAGAATCCGAACTTCAATCTTCATTCTTTTGTGTATTTAGCACCGTGCTGTTCTAAGCAAAACTTTGTCAAATTCATTGATGGTAACATTAACTGTTTCCTTATAACGAAACCTTCGGCATTCACAAAGTCATTGATTCTCAACGTAAGGCGCATGCCCGACTGGTGGGGCATGGTAATATTTTGGTGGGGCATATGTAGATTGTTCCCCCTTCGGCTTACTATACCAACGTGAGCTCAAATTTTATTTTGCATTATTATTTCATGATTAAAATGATCAAAGAATAAGCTTTCATTCAAATATTTTATATTTCTGCCTTTCTAACAGGATTCTGCTGTCTGTTTTGGAACTATATTTATTTAACTGTCTTTTTGTTTTTTGTTATATTTTTTCTCTTTCATGGATGCGATGGTCTTTGAAGGCTTGTTTAAAGACCAAGTTAATGGCCTTTTAAGCTTCCTTCATGTGAATTGCAGTAAAAATTTTAATATGTAAGAATTAAAATTTTACCGGCGAGGGGCAGAATTTTAGAAATACCAAAGTGGGTCATGAGCCAAAATCGGTTTGAAACCACTGCACTAAACGAACAGCTATTGCAACTTAAGTTATACATTTTCTTCACTCCCTAGACATTTGGTTGAGATCAAAGTGTAGTATCTATTCCTCGCATCTCTAATAGCAGTGGTAATATTAGCCGTGTGGAAAAATTTGGCATTCATCAAACAAGCAGCCAGTGCTACTTATGTTACGCATTCCTTCATTCCCTAGCCATCGGGATGGGATCAAGTATAGTATCTGTTCTCCCCATTTGTCATGGTACCGTTAATATCCCTGGCTATAGTGCTGGGATCAAAGGGTACTTTCTGTTCTCCTTATCGCTAATGAAAATGGCGACATTAGATACTTCCTTATTGGGAAATATTTGGCATTCATTAACCGAGCAGCCAGTTCAACTTGAGTTACTTTTCTTTTTGTTACTTCCAGACTATCAATCTTGCATCATTGTTTAGTATCTATTTTTCTGATCTATAATAGTAATGGAATTATAGGTCGTTTCCTTATAAGGAAACATTCAGTATTTTTGTCCGAGCAACCAATGCTATTTTCGGTTGAAATTTATAAAATCTTAAATAAAATTAAAGCAAATCTTCTTAGAAAATTAGCTTTTTAAAAGTTTTTTTTCTTTGCTTTTTGTTTGTTTGTTTTTTTCAAATAGATTCCTAGATGTTTCATAGATGTTAAAACTGTATGTTACATTATGACTTGCATTAGGTTGGAACTCAGTTACAGTTTCCAGGAATTGAACGAAAGATATCGAAATAACCATTCGGGAATTTATTTAAAACCTATTCAGAGATCTATTAAAACATTCTGGAGAATATTACTAATCTTCATGAACCTATTAAAAACCTATTTTCCTGAATTAATTAAAATTATTTTATTAAAAAATTGTTTTAATCTATTAAGGTTTTTTTTTAAATCTATTGTTTTGACAATAGAGGAAAAAAGTTGTCGATTGGAGACGATTACTGACTTTGAAAGGTTAGAACATATAAGTGCTACATATATGTAGCCTTGTGCCAAATTAAACAGCATTTAATAAATACCTGAGTAAATAATAGCAGACAAAGAAAAAAATATTAATAATGACAAAGAGATGCGGGTGTGGGTTGGGTGTCGGTAGTCTGAGGAATGTGTGGAATTTACTAGTAGAAAAGTATGTGAAGTGACGGTAGGCTTAGAAGTAATCAGTCTGTGTGTGGGTGTTCCTGGGGTACAGCGGGCAATCTGCCTTCCAGGCAAAATAGCATAAGCTATCTCACCTTCAGTTGCCAATGTCGAAAGTGTTACGACTTTGTATTTGCTCTAGAACAGATATGCAAATACTTACATACATAATCATACACACATATGCAGGAGCACTTCGAAGTCGTGTAACGGTTAACAGACTTATCTCGCTAGATCAGTTACGACTGAATTGTGAGTTCAGTTCTTACTGGGTACCCTATATTTTCGGCCTTGTGTCACAACATAACTATCCTTAGAAAATAAACATACACACACCCGATATATATATATATATATATATATATATATATATATATATATATATATATATATAAAAACTTCTTCACTTGTACATCCTAGCTTGACCAAGCTAATGCTCAGGAAGAGCGGCTAAGGTTTAATAAGCAGACGCGGCTCGTGAGGCACTGTCCCGAGGTTATCTGAATAGTTGGATAAGTATCACTACGGAACTGAGTCAGCAGCGGCGCTATATCGAGTCTAGTTTGTGTCTTCTACGTCACCGACGCCCGTGGTACAGTTAATTTACGACGTTTGATTTGTATCGAAATGGTCCGCTTTCGATTCTCGGTAGTGGATGCGCACTGCTGATGAGTCCCAAAATAGAACGAAACGGCCGTTCAGTGCAATCTGTTGAAGATTATTCTGGACTCGATGAATTACTTTAATTATCATTATATATATATATATATATATATATATATATATATATATATATATATATATATAAGTGAACATTGAAGTCAAACCTCAGAGGCGACAGACTGTTTCATGCTAAACGCAATCATCAGGTCACCTCTATTTCTGATATTGAGCAATGTATCCCATAAATATAGCACAACTTAAAACTATATTTCTTCATATATATAATAATAATAATAATAATAATAATAATAATAATAATGGACTCTCCCTTCGGTTTCGACGTATGAGGATCTGACAGCTTAATTGATACAGTTATGAAAGTAAGTGGAATTTAAGACCCGCTAGTGATTTACAGAGGAGGCCACATATATATCGCTATCATACACATATAAAAATGAGTATTAACATACGTAAAATTATGTCAAATTCCCTACAACCTACAATCTTTACAAAATTTAAATTCATTGTCAATCGGCATGTCATGTTTTCCTTAATTCAATTCTTTTATCGTCCTTTCGCCTCACTAATGATTTTCCATTCTCTTTGCATCTTTTTGCATTGTCCTTGCATCTCAGGGGTATTATCACCGTGCATGGGTTCAATGGAGTTTTAAAAGAATTGTAGTTTCGTTCATGTTATCTTAGTTCATAACTCTATTTTTGTACATCTCCTTGCAATTTGGATTCTTCAAGAGTCTGTTGTACTGTAGTTAAGGCGCAGCTTTTTTTTTCTTCTTCCGTTTCCGTAGTTTTACTCTGAGATAGCAACACAAGAGAAAGATGGTCGCTCCCGCAGTCGTCGCTCTCCTGTCATTTCCCGTATTCTGCAAGCAACTTCAAGGACTTAGAAGACCAACCTAAAATAGCATATTAGAATTGCGAGAAGCTCAGTGTTCGGATCGGCTATCAATGCTTTTGAAACAAAAGATAGATTTGAGTACGGCTGCGACTACTACTACTAACCTTCTATTATTACTACTACTACTACTACTACTAATAATAATAATAATTGCGTCACTTCTCTGTTATGTATTAGACACAAGATTATCTGCCAAACATACAAGAGAAAAACGAGAAATATAATGGACATCGCCAGAGT